ATCTGCTTCCACCGTCATCAGGATGATTCCCATTTTCTTCTCTGAGTCTTGTTTTATCCTCACATACTCCCTGGGTTTGATAAAACACATCTTAGCAGCTTCCTGAGGACTGTGCATTTTTTGCAAGTCTTTCTTGAATATCACTATCTCTTTCCACCTTCTTACTTGAATGAAAGTTTGTCAGGATACAGGATTATAAGTGAAAACACATTTTTCTTCAGAATTTTGAAAGCATGTCCCCCATTGTCTCCTGCCTTCTGCTATTACTTTTGAGAAGTCTTAAAATATTTTGATTCTCTTGTTTGTTTCAATTGCCTTTTTCCTCCCACTTTGAAAGAGGAGGACTCTTTCATTCTCATCTCCTCTTTCTCTTAGTCCTTGTCATGTCTCAACTTCTCTGACCAGAATAGGTTTTCTTCTCATTTTTCATGGGCTCTCTCAATTTGACAATTCCAGTCTGAGAAATCTGTGTTTATCATATCTTTAATAATACTCTCTCCCCGTTTCTGGACTCTCTTTCTTAAGCTCTTACTATATGGACATTTGTTTCTTCCTGACTACTCATTAAATTTTCTCTTGTTTTGACTCCACTCTTCTACTGTTTGATTTTATTACTCTTCATTTGTTCAATGTCCTTAGATTTTTCTTTTAAACCTGTTATTTAGTACTTCATGTGCTACCTTACATTTAATTTCCAGGAGCTCTTTTTGGTTCCCTAAATGCTTCTTGTTTTGTCTTAATGTATTTTGTTCAATACTTTACTATTCTTGTTTTATATATGGACACTTTCCATTTTCTCATATTACTCTGAGAATATTTATTATACATTTTAAAATTTATTTCTTCTTGTACAGCTTTTTGTTTCCTCTGAGTTCCTCATTTCTGCATGCTTTTTGTTTATTCATTTGTTTGTTCTTTCCCTTGAGAGAAACTTCTTTAAATGTCTAGTGATCTCTGTCATCTGAACATACATAAGAGGGAAGCACTCAAAAGCAGTTGGGACTGAGTGAATATGGGGGCCTTATTTTTACATGGAATTTACTTTAAGTTGATCAATCTGTGATATTGAATTGAAGAACTCCAAACTTTGTATCCTTATATACACATACCATCTATATATATATAGCATTCTCTGATATGATGAACCATTTCTCCAGAGAAAATTCCTCCAATCTTGTGCCAGTGGAGATGTAGCCCTGGCTGGTAAAATTCTGAGACATCTGGGAGAAGCATCTTATATTCAGTGAGTAGCTTGCTCTTTATTTCCCTTGATTATACTCAACTCTCAGCTTAACCTAGTGTTTCTGAGTTAAGGATATCTCTCAATCAAATTCTCCAAATAGGAAATCTCTTCTCAGGGTAGGAAAAATGACCAGCAATGGGGTTTGAAAGGGTTCAGGGAATCTAACTGTTTTACTTACAGAGTTTTAATTATTATTCATATAGTTAGTCCTACATATGAACTTACATTTGGAGGCATGTGGTGCCTCTATGTCCAGAGACTTTTGAGGTTCCACTGCAAAATGAAGCCTATTTCTAATTTGTTTCCTCTTTCAACTTAATTTTAACTTCCATATATCTGCTAAGTAAGCTACCACTTATCTATCTCCTTTCTAACTTCCAAACTTGTATTAGTGTTGTATCATCTACCAATCTCCTTTGTTCTTAGGAGTGATTTTTTTTATTCATTCTTCTCAATTTAGTGTACTGTCAGGAGGAAATGGAATGCATTTCTTTAATTGAAAGCTCCCAAATCCACATTATAAAGGGTACTCTAAAAAATATTACGTATGTACTCCCTAATGCTTATGCTCCTCTTTCTTATTCAAAATATTATAGAAACTGAAGGACTGTAAATATTATAAAACCAAGTTATTATAACTTGAGATACACAAGAATAACAATTATATAAGTTTAGTAATTATAGAAACATATAGTAGATTATGTTCTATTCAAATTCATTTATTTAATAAGTATGTTAGGAGCACCTAATGTGCTGGACCAACTGATAAACAATTGAATAGCCAAAGCAATTCTGAGAAAGAATAAAGCTGAAGGTATTACACTCCATGACCTCAAGCTGCAGTAATCATAATAGGATGGTACTGGCACAAGAACTTACCCATATTGCAATGAAATGGAATAGAAAGCCCATGCATATATGGTCAATTAATATATAATAAAGGAGACATGAATATACAATGCAGAAAATACAGTCTCTTCAATAAATTGTGCTGGAAAAATTGGACATCTACATACAAGAGAACAATACTGGATTACTATCTAACTTCATACACAAAGGTAAACACAAAATGGATCAGAAACATGATTATAAGGCATGAAACCATTAAACTCATAGAAGAAAACAAAGGCAAGAATTTCTTGAATATAAACAGGAGCAAATTTTTCCTGGACACATCTTCTTGGGCATGGGAAACAAAACTAAAAACTGAGAAAGTATGACTATATCAAACTAAAAAGCTTCTGCATAGCAAAGGACACCATCAACAAACAGAAAGGAAACCTAAAGAATGGGAGAATATATTAATAAATGATTTATCTGATAAGGGGTTAACTTCCAAAAAATGTAAAGACTCATTTGCTTCAGCACCAAAAAAAAAAAAAACCTGAACTCAAATAAAAAAATGGGAGAGGGCCTGAACAAACACATCTCCAAAGAAGACATACAGATGGCCAACAGGTCCAGGAAAAGATGTTCCACATAGCTAATCATTGGGGAAATGCAAATCAAACCTACACTGAGATATCACTTTACACCAGTTAGAATGACCACTATCAAAAAGACAAGAAATAACAAGTGCTGGAGAGGATGTGAAGACAAGGGGAACATGCCTACACTGCTGGTGAGAATGTAAATTGGTACAGCCACTGTGGAAAGCACTATGGAGGTTCCTCAAAAAACTAAAAATAGAAATACCATATGACCCAGTAATACCACTTCTAGGAATTTACCTGAAGAAAACAAAATCCCTGATTCAAGAGGATGTATGAAAACTATGTTTATTATCACATTATTTACAGCAGCCAAGATATGGAAGCAATCTAAGCATCCATCCATAGATGAATGGATAAAGAAGATGTGGTACATATGCACAATGGGATATTATTCAGTCATTTAAAAAAAAGAAATACTTCCATTTGCAACAACTTTAATGGACCTAAAAGGTATTATGCTAAGTGAAATAAGCCAGGTAGATAAAGACAAATACTATATGATTTCACTTATTTGTGGAATCTAAAAACAAAATAAAACAGAATGATCAAAACAGCAGTAGACTCATAGTCACTGAGAAGTGACTGGTGGTTACCATGGGGGAGGTGTTGGGGTGGGTTGGCTGGGAGGGAGAGGGGGATAAAGGCACACAAAAATTCTCAGGCATAATATAAGTTGGTCATGGGAATGGTAGTGCAGCATGGAGAATACAGCCAGTGATTCTGTAACATCTGCCTATGTTGACAGACAGTAACTGCACTAGTGGGGGTGAGGATGTAATAATAATGGATAACTGTTGAACCATTGTGTTGTATATTTGAAACCAATATAAGATTGTATATCAAAGGTATTTCAATAAAAAATAAATAAACAATGGAAATAGTACTTAAGTGAACTGAGAAGAGTCTGGGAAGGAGAGAAGAACTTTTAGAAATACATATTGTAAAGAGAAATATTTTACAACTTTTCCCATCATTTTTTACTCTTTGCCTTTGTGTTAGTTTGCTAGAGCTTCAGTAACAAAGAGGGTGGCTTAAATAATTGACATGCACTGTCTCACAAAATCATTGTGTCAGCAGGTTTGGTTCCTTCTACAGGCTGTGAGGGAAGGGTTTGTCCCAGGCCTCTCTCCTTGGCTTATAGATGGCTGCCTTGAAGGACACATGGCAATCTCCCTGATATTTTTCTATCTCCAAATTTACCATCTTTTAAGATCAATATTCATGCTGGATTAAGGTCCATCCTAAGTAGCTCATTAAAGCTTAAATCTATTAAGACCTTAATTCCAAATAAATTCACATTATGAGATACTGGTATTTGCACTTCAACAGGTGAGCTTTTAGGGGACACAATTCAACCCATAACAGCCCTATTCAAATAAAGGATGAGAAAATTGGTTTAAAAGTAAGAAATGAGGACAACATAGAGCAGTCCAAAATTAATGTAACAGAGGACATACATTAAATGTTACAGAAATGGGCAGATCATATGCCTAAATGACCCTTGCAGATTTTGTCACTTCCCCAGTCTCCACAGAAGCCGCCAAGGTCCCTGCCTGCCTGTGCGTCACAGATAAGGGTAGAGATGGACTCGTCAGCTCGGAGACTCGTGAGTTAGCAGCACCTACTCAACATGAATAGTAAACCACTTTTTAAAAACAATAAAATTAAAATGTATTAAAAAATTGAAGTTATAATTTGGTGAACCACGTCTAATTTAATTATGAGTTTGTAGAACTTTAGACCTAAAAAAAATAAACCACAGAGAGAAAATAACCCTATAAAGCATAGATTATCAAGTTGGGATGCACTTTAGAATCACCTGGAGATCTTTTTAAAATACAGATTCCTACTTCCCATTCGTACACCCTGAATAGAATTTTACTGGATGCATATTTTCAAAAACCCTCGAAATGATTTAATACAGATTGCCTGATCCATCAGCCTTGTTTTTGAGTTAAGGAAATTGGAACCATTTCGATGAAACAACATAGTATACCCTATATGTGGTAAAAAATGGTCTAGTTATGTTAACATATGACTCGTTTCATTTTGAGCAACAGAAAAACTCAAGAATTAGTAAAAACTACTTTGAAAACATTTTTAATAACAGTGTCAGTGATGACTATTCTTAGATTATGGCAAAGGCAGTTTACAGATGTTTGCTTTCTTTTAGTAATATTTAATGTTGGTAAATTTTAAAAATCAAATTAAAAAAAATATAAGATGAAAAGAACAATTTACTGAAAGATATTTTAGGAACTTACTGATGATGTCCTATCCACTTCACAACGGCTACTCAGAATAAAGCAAGCCTCAGCATCATCCATCCTAAATATGGACAGAAAAAAAATAATCACACACTAAAATATCTATTCATTTCTGAAAAAAAAATCAGATTTCAGTGATTATTCCAGGGCACACAAAGTACATGTAAACTAAAAGTATCCTTAAGCTTAAATAAGTGTTGGGTTTCTAGCAGATCATGACTGTACTTGACTGTGAAGAAAATAATTGCTGTTGAATTGCTGTATAACTATATTTTGTAATGACAGAAGTAAAACAAAAAGTCAAACTGTAGTCCCTTTTTTATGATTATACGGTTTTTCATATATATGTTTTCTTGAAATTAAGGGAGTTTTATTGGCTTTTATTTTGTGATTAGTTGTATTTTAACTGCAATGCTTCAAACTAAGAGAGAAGAAACAGAGCTGCTAGGGGGAAATGAGCAGGAAAAATCCTGAGACATCCTAAAGTGAAGTAACATAAGGACCAGAGAATGGTGGAGAGACAAAGGAAGTTAATCAGCCAATAGCCATGGGCTGTAACTAATCAGACTCCACATTCCTGGATGAAGTCACTTCAACAATGATCCAGAGGCTTCCAGAACCAGTGCCTCTCTCGCTTGTGAACACCATCATCTTGCCTGAACAGCATTAACAACAAATCCACAAGTCTTTCCTATGGACTAACCGCTTACCCCCGGACTTTCCTCACTTCACATTAGCCCACCTTCTTTATATGTAGCCAATGTAAATTTAAACAACTTTCTTTGAGATCTTTATATGTTTCTTGAATCTGGTGGGCAAGTGTGTTAACTGGCCTTGCTGCTTGCTGGTAAAGCATAAACTTCCTGCCCCAGTACTCAGTCTTTTTTCTGGCTAACATCTACAATGGCTCAATAAACCCTTTTATTTCAGAAATCTCTTGGTCTCCAGAGTTTCTGATTTGTCAAAAGCCATCCAGATAAAAACAAAACAACAAACAAAAAATCAAAAAATATTTATGCTATAAAATTCAGTGAGGAGACTTTAAATCTGAAAGAGCATGTAGAACAACTCAAGGATATACATGAAGACGTTTAAGAATCTTAAAGCAGCAGTAAACACCAAGCAAAGCAACCCCTGCCAGAGATTTTCTGGCTGGTCTGCAGATGCCCTGACTCCCTGGTGTCCGCAGGCTACCCAGCTCTGCTCTCACTCTGCTCATGTGGGATAACCCCCATAACCTGTGACAAATGTTTAAGACGATGTCACCTTAAAACTGAGCCGGCTGGCACATGTCCAATGGGAACAGAACAACCAACTTGTTCTGACTCCTCCAGTTCCAGCGACTCTTTGATCTCTACCACCAGGCAACACGTGTTACCTGCCCAGTACATAATACAAACTCTTTAAAATTTAAACCCTGACTCAAACTGCTTCGGCATTTCAGAGTGTTTAGCCCAATCTTTTTATGTATAGAATAAAAACAGAATTTGGGGATCTAGAACTACTCTCATAGTGAGTCTAAATAACTCAGCTTGTGCCATGTGGACGGAGCATCCTTGCACTGAGAAAGAGAAGCAAACACACTGATTCTGCTTTAAATCTTTCAATCTGACCAGCAATGGCACTAAGGCAAAACACAGCATGCATAAAGGCTTGAACACATCCTGCTATACTGAAATTTGCTAAAATTTGGAGGAAAGAAAACATTTTGAAACACTACAAGATGTAAAATAGATAGGGATACCTACTTTGCTCTCAACAGATCCTGATCTTTAAGGGCTGAACCCTGCAGGTAGATAACTCTTTGGGACCACATGGGGATCTGCAGCACCCTTCGAACTTGCACATCTGTTTCAGTAGGACACAAAATCACCACATAATAGTCCTAGTCAAAACAACAGGGGAAATGGGAGAGACACAATAATGCTTTGTTTTATACTATACAGGTAAACAGAATACCTAAGAATATTTTATAAGATGATAAAATAGATATGAATTTTTGGTAATAAATAAAAATTTGCATTTAAAACCTGGAAATATTTAAATATGATGCTGTAATAAACGTAACTGAGACAGGAAAATCTCAGAAATCAACACACATTTTTTTTCAGTCTTATTAGCACCATGAAGAAAAGGTAATAAGTGCTCATACAAGGCACACATTTCCAGCCTACCACGCTTACAGTTATACCTTCAGGCTGATTCTAAAATATGCATTGCATCTCAGGCAAAACTGTGTTAAGTATCAATACTTCAAAATGTTGCTTTTCGAATAAAAATTGTGCTGGTGATTTATATCACTTGGTAATATTACTATGAACTGATATTACTGAAAATTTTCTGAATATCTGAACAGAAAGGGATTCATAAAAATATTGATAATACAGATGAATTAAAAGATGAGATCAAAATATTTCAAAACAATATGTCTCCTTTAGAAACACCACAAAGGTATGCTTAAATGGTTTCTAAGAACTGATTTATAGGAATTAGAATTCTCTGGCAAAAATTCACCATTTTATCACTCTAAAATACATCTATTGGCAATTTTTGGAGTTTTAAGAATCTTCCATATAAACCACCAGAAATAAAATATTTGGGGAATAAAATTTTCCCAGAACAGATCTTTATGGGTTATAATGAGCAAACTTGAAGTCATTTAATATGAGTAATAAGAAAGCTCAACAAATAAATAGGGAGTTTCTTCAAAAAATGCAAATTGATCTACATGAAAACCACAAAGGAATGTGTTATATCATTTAAGTAGCACTCATAAATCAGATTTTTTAAAATATAACAAAAGTATTTAAAAATTCTCTTAAGCATTCATGAAAAATTCTCTTTATTTAAGGGAAAGATAATTAGATATATTCAATACTACCTTGATTGCAGGAGAGACAAATTTATTGAAGAAATAAAAGACACTAAAGCAGTTCTTTGCTGTTTGGACTAAGTACATTAAGCAATAAAGGATATTGCTTAAATCTGCCTTGACCCAGTACTATGTCAAATGGAGGAAATATCTCAGGATTATATCTGCAAAGCTGATAAAAATATTTTTTTAATTCAAGTTCTCAATTCAGTTAGTTGTCTGATTTTTGGTAATTTATTGCTACTATAAATAGGACATAGTTACTCTCCAGGAAACAAAAGAAAAGCTGGAACTTCCAGATTTCCACATTTCCATCAGCAACACATGATAAATTCTGAAATATTCATGAGGAAATGATATTGAAATAATTTTTTCATTGTTTTATTATATTTTATGTTAAATTCCACTGTTTCATAAAAATATCATTTATGCATTATACGCAAGGGAGAAAACGTAATCCTTTTAATTCAAAGAAAAACCTTTCTCTGTAGCATTAACATTATTCCATCTCTTTTTAGTGTAGATATAGAAGGCAACTTAAAATACTATGTATTCCTTCACCTTTTTTCTATGTTCCTGGTTATATTTGTAGTTCTTCATTTACTCTTTCTAAATTTAAGTGTATAAATAAAAATCCTCCAGAACACAGACAGCGCCATCATTTAATTGCCTTTGACAATATGTTACTAGGTATGATCCAGTAAAATACATAACATTATTTAAATGTACCTGTAGTCTTGGATGAGCATAGAATTCATTTAAAAAGTCCATAAGTAAATCAATCTTCAGTGAGCTGACACACAGAACAACATGCTTTTCTGTTTGAGCTCTGTGTCGGCTATAGTTTCCACCTGACTTTTGTCTCTCCATCCACAAGTAGGCCAGCTGTTCAAACTGTAATACATTTCCACAAGTTAATGAAAAGCACTAAATCAATGCAATACATCTATTATTAGGTATAATCTTCTTAGATGGAAATCAGTGAGATTCAAATTGCCAGTATTCCCTTCAACAAGAGACTTTTCATATGATTGCTACAGAGATTGCTAATGTCTCACTGGGGCTTCAGGTTTCTAAGGAAACATGTTAATATAATTTTCCTATTAAATCATAACAGGGCAGTAAGAGGTTGGTGCCTCTGCTTTCTGTCAAGTAGAGTATGCAGCCATGATATATCATGTGCAAGTCAGAGAAAGCCTCACTGGCATTACTTTCACATTCTTCTGCCAAGTTCAGCTTACGTCTCATGCAGTCAGAGAGACCCTCACCACAACAAAAAAGACCATATTCTAATTAATAGTAGCTAGTATGTAAGGGAAGTGGAAGGTATAAGAAAGGGATGTCAAGAAGGAATACATGCATGATATGATAGAGGTGGGAAGATCACCTTTATACTTGCATAATAATACAAAGGTTTGTAATGGAATATACAAGTTTAATTTGAATTAGCCATATCTTGTTTCTGACCTGCCCACCCATGGACACCCAGAACCCATTGTAGGAAACAGGGAATGCATCTATTTATCTTTATTCTCATTTTATATTTACATTCCTTTTTAACCACCTTATCTATCCCCCAAATGCTGCATAATAGTTATATGTCATTCACATTTTGTTTTAGTTGACCAACACATGTAATCAATTTTTATTTATTACCATGTTTGGTTTTTAGATTATTTCAAGAATCAAGAGAAATCAACCCTTCACAAGTTTATTTCCTCGATCTACCATTCTATAATTAGAAACTATATTAGCCTATGTTCCTATAATTAATATAATAAAATATTCTGCATTTACAAGAAAAATCTTGAAGAACTGAAATGAGATATGAACTATCAGTTATAAGTGGAGGGAAAAAATTCAATTTCTAATATAATGTAAAAAGGCATTTCTGTGACAATTTTAATTAGTTCACTTGATGTAATAATAGTGTGTATTAATATAGTAAATTAATAAACCACACTGCATTTCCTTTTAAAGATGGAAGAGTTGATTTTATAAGAACTCGCACATTTCTATAAAATTTAGCATGACTGTGTTACCTGTATGGGCAGGACCACAAGAGCAACGCAGATCATAGCGACAACAAAAAGTTTGGAGGACCAGGTTTCAGGGGTAACGTCACCGAAGCCCACAGTGGAAAACGTCACAATGCAGAAATACAGGGAGTCAAAGAGATTCAGCTTCTTTCCTATTCGCTCCAGATGTTGGATTCCACAAATGCTAAAGAAACATGTGCATTAAATTTTAAACTTTCAAGCTGGGCACATTTTTTGTACCCTTTTGAAATTCTCATATCATTACCCTTTTGAAAGCCAAAGCACATTTCATAAAGTCCTTTACTAGTTGGGATCTTAAATTGTACAATGTAACTTTTCTCAGGAAAATCTAATTTTCAAGTTTTTATCCTACATTAACCAGAAGTAATATTACTTTGATTAATAGCAAAAAATTGAAACCAAGCTATCACAAAGTATGTTTGAGTAGCATGTAAATGAATAGACTGAATTTCAGGAGTGTTACACAAGCATTTTGCGCATGAAGGAAACAGAAACTACTGAATGTATTCTCTGTGAAAACAGCAATAGTCTAGTGTTTTTGTTTTGTTTTTTACATAAAGAGAGGCATTTTGCTGTATATATCCATTTTACTGTATATATACATAGACGTGTATATGAAAAGTTTGAGGAGTTAACAATTGACAAGTGACTCTTAAGAAGAGTCCTTAAATGGATTAATCATCTGTGCAAAGTTACTTACGGTGTGAAAGTAAGGGAGCAACATAGAAATTGTTACAAGATGTTCTCAAAGTAGAATTGTTAAAAAAAAATATTAGAAATGGCACTGCTACAATCCTTAAAAAAAAAGTAACTGACACTATGAAAGATACACATATATTATGCACTGTTGAAGGGAGGCATGAGGTTTGCAACAAATATCAGTGTATAATAAAATATTATTCAGCAGAAAAAAGAATCCAAGTACTGATGCATGTTACTATTCAGATAAACCACCAAAACATGCTGAAGGAAGCCAGATGTAAAAGACTATATATTGTATGACTCTGTTTATTTTATATGAAATGTCTGGAGAAGAACCACAAAGCAGATTAGTGGGTGCCTGAGGACTGATGGTGTGAAGGGCTAACGGAAGTGCTCTAATACTGGATTGCAGTGATGACTGAAGAATTCTGCAAATATGTTAAAAATGATTGAAATTTTCACTTAAAATGTGTGAATTTTATGCTATGTAAATTATATCTCTATAAAGCTGCCCAGAGAAATCACTGTACACTTTCTGACACTCATTCCAACTTCTATATAAAACAAGCAGATACAGACTATGACTGTGACGAACAGTCAGTGTTTACACTCCAGAGATGCCTTTGCTAGCCTGCTACCCTCTGAGGTGATCTCCTGACTTGTCTAAGTTATACATATATAAGAAATATTCAATTATCTTACATTTCTCTTTTTTTTAAGGCAGAGTATGTCTTAGGTAGATAGATGGAAAGTCACACAAGTCATTGGAACAAAGGACAGAGGAGAAAAAGTAAGGTACTTATTTTACTTCTGAAGCAAAAAGTGCTTCTTTCTTCTTTAGGTTTTCTCTCTCTCTTTTTCTCAATTCCAGGTATCCAGAATTGCTTAGCAAAATTGCCCTTGTTCTATGCTTAGGAATTTTGTGTGAGCTACCAGGTCATATAAGTGGATTTATATCAGTTTATTTGCTCAGCTGCCCCCATGCAGTATAATGGGCAAGTTAATTATTATAAGACTATTTAGATGGAGCCTTAACATAACCAAATCGGACTGATAATAAACATTTCTGTAGAATAGGCTTTTTAAAATGTTACTTAAAATAATACGTATTTGAGGATATAAGCAAGTTATATGTTACATTTCAGTAGAAAATAGGATAAGAAGGAAGAAAAATTATATACTTTCATGGATTCAAATTTTATTTAAAGGCTTACTCTATTTTGCTTAACTACATATAAAAAGTCAATCTCCATTAATAATCTATTAGACAAAATGTATCTTTTCTAATTCAGATATATAGTATCTTGAACTAAACTACTAGAAAATCCTCCTGCTTTACTCCGTGGTCTTCAGTGTGTTCTTTTAATGGAACTTACTCATTAGAGCAATATTTAGATTATTTAAACTCAGCTTGAGTATGACAATCTCAGTTTCAAAAAGCCATGGATTCTCACTGTTCAAGAACACTCACCAGGAGACTTCTGGAAGATGGTGACTGGAAGAGCCTGAGCCCACTTCCTCCCGCCTATGCACAGAGCAGTTCAACTTGAGCAAGAACTGAAGACTGAATGAACAACCCATACAATGAGGAATAGAAAGATCGCATAAAAATGGCAAAAAGAGATGGAGACACAATAAAGGAGAGAATTCCACCCTTACTGCAATGGCCCATAGATGGCAAGGATATCACTGAGTAACCTAGGCACAAATTCCCTGCACTTTAAGTGAATCTAGATTATAAGTATAAGAAAAACAATTAATAGTGCTAAAACACTCATTGCTTGGCAGGAGAAATCTGGAATTCTCTTTGGATCAGAGCTCTGGTGAAAGCCATTCTCTGTACTCCTTCCCCACCTTGGGAGTGATCTGGAGAACAGAGTTGGGAACACACACCAATTTTAGACTTGGTCTAGGCAGTTTCTGAGTCCCAACTCATACCCAGACTCCTTGGCTTGAGATTGCATTTAGGCTACAGCTGCATGGAGGGTGTGGAGCCAGTTACTGCTCCAGGGAGGGATATCACTGAGTATCCTGGAAACAGACTCCCTGCTCTGGGCATATAACACGAGCCGTGCTTTAGAGTGCATTCAGACTCTAGGTCCTGCCTACATGCAGAGACACCAGACAGAGAGTGCATTCAGGTTACTGCTACCCCAAGGGCACAGAGCCAGTTGCTGCTGATGCTTGGGGAGCACAACCTAGCCAATGCTGCACCATTGGTGCCCACCCAGAGGCTGTGGAGGTAGAGCTTCCCTAGAGGCAGTCATTGATGCATATGTAAGCTGCTAATACACTGCAGACTCGGACTCAGAGCAAGTGGTTGTGGGGTCTGGGCTTTCCTGAGGGCTATACCTAGTCCTGGGGCCATACCACAGGTGCAGAGCCAGTCTCTATCATCCCTCTAGGGCATGCCTGAGCCACTACTGCACTGTGCATGCACACCCAGTATCTGTGGAGTAGGGGATCTTCTGGAGGCTATATCTGGCGATTGACCATGAGTGCAAAGCTAGTTGCTGCCCACTCCTGTAGATGGTACCAAAATCCACTCCCTTCTCAGCAGCATGGACCACATTGGAACCCATACAGGAATCCCTCCAATTGGGCTTCTCTGACTCTTCCCCCTTGCAAATATGCCCTTCCAGCCCAGACATCAAGACATCCCCAGCTCATATTCACTAGGCCTCCAGCCAGCCAGCCTAAACCACTAGGGACACACAGTCTACACAGGGACCTTCCCTATACAAGGCCAATCCTTCAAGAATGGGAGAGGTAGCCCTTCTACTAATTAATAGAATCAAGTGCAGAAAGTCCAACAAACTGAGGAGACAGAGGAATATGCTTGAAACAAAAGAGCATGATGAAACAGAAAAAGAACTAAATGTAACAGAGTTAAGATATCTACTAGATACAAAGTTCTAACTGATAATTAAAAAGATTTTCACCACGCTAGAGAGAAGAAGAACTCAGTGAGAACCCCTACAAAGGGATAGAAAATATAAAACAGAACCAATCACAGATGAAAAATGCAATAAATGCAGTAAAAAACACAGTAGAGGGAATCAACACAAGATTAGAGAATGCACAAGAATGGATCAATGATTTAAAGACAGAGTAATGGAAAGTACTCAACCTGAACAGCAAAAGGAAAAAAGAAAGGAGTTATATGATATAGTCAAAGTGCTGAGAAAAAAAACCCTCCATCAAGAAGTACTCTACCCAGCAAGGTTATCATTCAAAATAGAAGGGAAGCTAAAGAGTTTCACAAATAAACATAAGTGAAAGGAACTTACGACCACTAACAAGGCTTTACAGGAAACTTTAAAGTTTCTTCTTTAAGAGGAAAAGAAAAGACACTAACTAGAAGCAAGAAATACATAAAAATGAACAATCCAATGACTTAAAAGCTAGTATGAAGGTCAAAAAGACAAAAGCATTGTAACTAATTACATCTAAAATCAATTAAGGGAATCACTAAATAAAAAGTTGTAAATGAAGGCATCACCTATATAAAATGTGGAAGACAGGGAGTAAAAAATATAGTGTTAGAATGCATTTGAATTTAAGTGACTACCAACATATCATAGATTGCTAAATATGCAGGACATCATTAAAGAACCCCATGGTAACCACAAGCCAAAAACCTAAAATGTATACACAAGAAATGAAGATAAGGGAATCCAAGCATAATAGTAAAGGAAGTAATAATGCATGAGAGGAGAGCAAGAGTAGAAAGAAGGATTAGAGAGGGACAACAAAAACAACCAGGAAACATTTAACAAAATGGCAATGACTGCATATCTATTAGTAATTATTTTTTATGTAAATGGCTGCCTGCTCCAATAAAAAGACATAGGGTGACTGAATGGGAAAAAAACAAAACAAAACAAAAGACCCATCTATTTACTGCCTACAAGAGACTCACTTTAGACACAAAACACACAGAGACCAAAACTGAAGGAATGGGAAAAGATATTCCATATAAATGGGAATAAAAAAAAAAAACCTGGTAGCAATACTGATATCAGACAAAACAGAATTTAAAATGAAGTCTGTAACAATAGACAAAAAAGAACAGTATATAATGATTAAAGGCAAATTCAGCAATAAGATTTAATAATTGTAAATATCTATGTATCAAACAGAGGAGCACATAAATATATAAAGCAAATATTAACAGACATAAAGGGAGAGATTGACAGTAATACAATAATAGTAGGGGAGTTTAACACTGCCACACACATTAATAGATAGATCTTCCCGACAAAAAAAAATCAATAAAGAAACAGTGGATTTGAATGAGACATTAGACCGAATGGAATTAACAGATATATACAGAAAAATATATCCCAAAACAGTAGAATAAAGATTCTTTTCAAATGCAAATGGAACATTGACCAGAATAGATGATATGTTAGGCCACAAAGCAAGTCTCAATAAGTTAAAGAAGATTGAAGTCATATC